CTTTAGGCATGTTGAAATGTATGCCTACAGTCCTTGGAGTCTGACAATCTGTGTAATGTACAGTGTTAGAAAATACCTGTCAGCCTCGTCCACCTACAGCTGGTCATTGATGTTCGAAGGGGCTTCAAAAAGTTCCTGGAAAACGGAATTTAAAAATAATGGAATTTCTCCAGGAATTTTTTGAAATTTTGAAATCCGTAATGGTCACAGATGTGAAGGTATCAAGTGTAAATAGCACTCAAGTCGACCCCAATTCCTGCTCCATAGTGTTTTCAGTGGCCAGGACTTTCTTACAAGGCATCTCTGGATGGGCCTGAATCGCTAACCTTTGAGCAGCCGAGTGTGCAGCTAGAATCCCTTGTGTCTTCAAGTGCTCACCCAGCTGCGCTGAAGGTACATCTCGATCCCGTAACGTTTTTGCTGCGTCTTTCAGAAGCTCTCCCACACATCTTTCTTTGGCATCTTCTCTCACCAGCAAATGAGGCTTGCTGGTAGCCCTTATAAGATACGGGTTGTTAACTCAAACATTTCAGAGCACACGTGTCATTTTTACTGGTACAGGCTCCTGGAATTTAGCAGCAAAAGCTCCTAGTGGTTTTTATGGTTCGTGATGTACTGATTTCTAGCCACGCAGTCTCGGAGACACACTGGGGCCGCCTTGGTTTTCCGGATCTCAAAAGTTTTTTGCCTTTGACCTGGAATTAAAAGATGGAATCTCTGCAGGATTTCTTTATTTAACGACAAATAGTAATGGTCCCGCTTTCCTGTAGTTCTCTTTTAGTGGGAGATGAGAGGGATTCCAAAAATTCATGGAAAATTTGAATTAAAAAAAAATAGAATTTTTCCATGAACTTTTTGAAGCCCTTTCATACTGGCATTTCCGTCTTTGATAAGTCAGGCCTCCCTGAGAGGAGGAAGAGCTCTATGTGTACACGGAAGACTAGAATGAGTTGAAGTTTTATTTCAGCCTTCTGATATCTGCCTGGGAGTAACTTGACATGCTTGTAATTTAGCTCTGTTATTTCCTTGCATATAAAAAAAACTTGGTATAATATATGGTATGAACACCTTTTTTTTTTTAACTGCCTTCCCTGAAACCCAAGTAAACACGGGTCTACAAGTGTGGTGCTGTGGGATAAAGCACTGGACCACAAGGCCAGTGGTTCAAACCCACCAGTCGCTCCTTGGAAACCCTATACAGGATCGCTATGAGTCAGAATCTACTCGACAGTACTTTGCAACAACAACAACAACAACAACAACAACAACCCTGCAGCCAGTGAGCAATTCTCCCTCCTCCCACCTCTCATAACCATCATAGAATGTTTCTTTAGCATAAAAACCTTTTCTTGACTTTTTTCAATAGTGATCTCATATTGGTTCTTTTGTGATTGATAAATTTCAGTCCTCCAGGTTCACCGATGTTGGGAGGTAGGTGTTCTGCAAATTGGCAGATGTGGAATCACAGCTTTATTAACAGGCACATATACAAAACAGATAGGCACGTGAACACAAAGGCTGACTTTTCTCATTCAACTCCAGTGACCGAAACTTCCGGGCTCAGGTGACCTCATGACTCTGGGTTCTGAATAGATGAGGTGTCTCCGTCTCGTCACCATAAACACAATGTCAAGTTCATTTGGAAGGTGTCTTTGCTGAGTTCCATGAGGAGCACAGCTCGGCCGGTGTGAGAGCAAGTCCGTTTCCACCAGCCAAGCCACCACCCACCAGCCACTCAACCTAGGGAGGTAGTAGCTGTTGTTGTTGTTGTTAAGTACCATGGAGTTGGTTCTGACTCATAGCGACCCTGTACAGGGTTTCTGAGGCTGTAAATCTTTACAGGAGCAGAAAGCCTCATCTTTCTTCCACGGAGCAGCTGGTAGTTTCGAATTGCTGACCTTGAGGTTTGCAGCCCAATTCGTAGCCACTACGCTACCAGTAGCTGTTGTTAGCTGCCGTCAAATCCTGGTGACCCCAGGTACAGGGAATGGGCCATTAGGATCTGTAGTCCATCGTGGTCTGGAAGCCCCTCTAGGCTCACGAGGTGCACTTACCGGGAATTGGACCTGAGTCTCATGCACAGAAGGGGTGGATTCTCCCACTATGCCATGGCTGCCCCTGGAAGGGCTAGCAGCCAAGACTGTATTTGTGTCATCTTCCAATCTCTCTAGGACTCAGGTTTGCATAACGTGTTGGAGAAAGTGCTCTGGGAACAGCCACAGGACAGCCATACACACCGCCTGGGAGACCAGCACCTGGCAATGGCAAGGAATAAACACCAGGTGTCTTTGGTCAAGCAGGATGGGATGGATGGGCATGAGGTGTGAGCCTCAGGGGTCCAGATGTTGGCATCTGGTGCCTGGGTGTGACCAGGGTGTGGCTTGTGAGTCTGACGATGAGAGAAGAGAAAATGTTTGCTGACCACATGCCTTTTTACTGCATCCTCCCACACAGGCATTTTGTTTTGTTTTCTGGGTTTTTTGGTGGCATTTTGTGGAAGACTATAGGTGTTGTGTGAGAAGCAAGGTGCTGGATTCAGAGGTGTCGATTTAACGTGCAAACGGCCACTTCAGATTCCCCACTGCCTGTTGTCGCTCTGATTTGAGAGGCAGGTCTGTGTTGTTTACTGTCTTTTGTTGGCACCTCACATACCTGCCCCTCCGTTCCTGCGTCAGTTCCAGAAGGGGTCTAATTGTCTTTACTCCCAGGGTCAGCAGTAGGCCCCTGTAACTTCCACCCTCAGCTCACCTGTCCCCTGTGGAGCTCCACTCTCTTCTGAGATAAAGACAATGAATGTGGAGGTGGAGAGTTATGCTGGCTGTAGGACTGGCCATTCCTGTAATGCCAAGCAGGAGCCCTGGTTCCGTGTCGATTCAAGTGCTGACTGAAAGGGTTCCAGGCCTGTAAACCTCTAGGGGAGCAGACGGCCACATATCGCTCCCACAGAACGGCTGGTGGAGCTGAACCACCAACATACTGGTAAGGAGCTGAGCTCTTTTTCTGTGGTGCCGCAGGGTTCCTTGCCGGGGTCTGGCCCCGACATAGTTGTCACGAGTGTTTGGTTCACGAGGAGGGGAGATCCAGCGGCGATAGGGATAGCGAAAGAATACACAGAGAAACAGAAGAAGGGAGACAATGAGGCACCCCAAAGCCAGGGTGGATACATCACTGGTGGGCAGACTTGGGACTACAGGCATCATGGCCTCTGCAGGCAGCGACTCACTGCCCTGCAATCTTTAATGCATGCCTTCCAACCCGTAACGCACCGCAATCTTTACTCCATGCCTTCCAACCAGTAATGCACAGATCTTTACTCCATGCCTGCCAACCAGTAATGCACACCTGGGGAGGCCCGGGCCTCTGCTTTATTTAGGGGAGGAGTTTCACACCAAGCTGGGAGGGACTAAAACAGGATACAGCTAACATCAGTAATTTTCCAGACATTCAGGTAACTTTACATTGTACTTCACTGGTTCGAATCTCAGGCCAGCAACTTGGATTCTCAGGCCCAATTAACATATCTATAGCCCCTGAGGTCAGTTGGGGGAAGTTGAGAGTTCTGCAGGAGCCGCCCAGGTGAATGGGCTGCACCTGGAAAAGGGATTAGGGAGGATGGGTTCTTTGTCTATAGAACAAAGAACCAAGAAGTAGCTAAGATATTTTTAGTTAATCCTTTGGAGAAAGGTTTAACCTTGCAACCTTTAGTCTTGGCTTTAGGAAAATATCACATTTATCTGTGGATTTTCAAAGGCTCCAGTGTATTAATTTAATATATATACCTGAATATTAATATGAAAGCAATTTTCCATTAACTGCCAGTGGCCTCATTTGTTACACTCAGCCCTAGAGGGCCTCGAACCTCTGACTAGTCTTACACGGTCTGCAACAGTTCCTCACCTGGGTACTCAGCATCGTAAATGCAGCCCGGCTTCCATACCCGGGGGTCCCAGGAATCAGCTGAAGTCAGGTCGCTTTCTGAAGATGGACGACGCCCCACATTCCCAGTCCATGCCTTGCTCCTTGAATTCCTAATACCACTCTGGGATCCTGAGTCCTTTTTATTTAGTGAGACAAAAACCTGTGTCCCAGGATGGAGGAGCAAAACATGCTCAACCATGTGACTGGACACGCGGTCCCTCCAGGACTTAGTGCCAGGCTCACAGGGACGGGGGGCACACGTGCAGAGACCTGCCCAGGACAGAACACGGGTCTCAGATGGCTGAGCATCCCTTTCTTCTCTCACACCCCTGAGACATCAGCTAGCAGGTCCCGTCTCCCTGCCTCTCCTTCCTGCTTCCGGGTAGAGGACTCATGTCGAATCAAGTCACCTTGACTGGTCCATAGCCCACCCAGTGCCCACATAAAGGACTTGATGTCCCCTCTTGCTGACCGGGGCACCGCTGTATTTTGTATTGATTCTGTTTATTTTTAGCCCTATACAAGTGGACAGCTTTTTGTGGACATGGTTTCCTAAGAAATTGATTTCACAATACAGCTGGTTCTGTCGTGTTCCATTCCGTTCCTCCCACCACCAAGAGCAGGCACGTTTGTTCCCACGTGTAAGCCCAAACCCAAGCCTGCCGCCATGAAGCTCATCCCAACTCCTGGCAACCCTGTGGCATAGAGGAGAACTGCCCCTCAGGTCTCCAAAGCTGGCTTCATTACTGCTGGAGTCGACCACTGGGCCTTGCTCCTACAGACCTGCTGCTGATGGGTTTGAACCACAGGCCTTTCTGTGAGCCATCCAGCACCATAATCACTGTACCACCAGGCTTCCTTTTGTGACCGTTTAAAAGAGCAAGAGGAAGCTGGGGTTCATCATCTGTTCCTTCTCTGCAAAATTCCCAGCCCTGAGCCGACAGGAGGCTGTGTTGGCTGGAGGCTGGGTCGTGGATCCCTGGGGTGGGTTTTGATTCTGTTTCTGCCCCTTGAATGAGCCACCCAGCCAGTATCAGGGTGATTCTTTCTGTTCCTTTGATCATGTGTTTCCTCTCACATAGGAAGAGGGCATCGTGAAGGAAATTGACATCAGCCACCATGTGAAAGAAGGCTTTGAGAAGGCAGACCCATCCCAGTTTGAACTGCTCAAAGTCCTGGGACAGGGCTCCTATGGGAAGGTGAGCTTTTCTCCATGGCCCCAGTGACTGTGGGGCAGGAGGAGTTTCTGCATACCCAGGACACGGCTCAGGCCCTGGGCATCCACCCAGGACCCCATTGTGAGCTGGGCCTGCGGGTGTAGTTTATATTCCTTTCACCAGTGAGCTGCCTGCACCCTGGGGAACATCATGTGCCGCCCCACACACAGCACACACACCTAACACACACACATACATAGCACACATTCACATTCACCACACGCACATAACACACACACACACAGCACACACACACTCATCACACATATGAGTCGCCTGTCAGGCAATTGAGCTGGAACCGTGTGTCTAAAAGCACAAACTCATCTCCCCATTTTTTAAAACAAAAGAAAAGAAGAAAATAACACACACACACCCCTGGTGTCATTACTGCCCTCCCCCCAGGAGTTGAGAAGGTGGATTTACCTCCTGCCACCCCCTTTTATCCCTCTCAGCCCTGGGGCCCCACCTGAAAAGTAAGAGAAAGGAAAGCTCTTTATGTAACTCTGCTGCCTGCCCGGCGATCTGCGCCCACGAGACTTGCTAGCTTTCTTTCTTTCCACCTTGAAATTTCCATGACACGAGCAGATCCTTTCATGAAATGAGAAATCATTGATTCTTTATTGTCACAGCCACACAACAGACATGAGTAAACAGGCCGGTGATGGTGTTGTCTGACTTGTGCTGGGCAGCGTCCCTCCTTCTACGTCCTTGGGTAAGGAACACAGAAATCTGTAGATTCTGACATCGAGAGGCATTGGAGCAAAGACTCAGAGAGAAACCATGGAGGATGGTAGAGCCCTGGATTTTGGAGGAGATGTTTGACATACAAACATTCCCCAAACTCCTTACTTTCATCACAAGACTTTGTGTCAAAATAAACTCCGATTCTATAGATTGCCGTGCAGGTGGGTGGGGTTGGGGGTGTCTCACTGCTGCAGTCTGAGACACAGGGGGAGAACTTGGACAGTTGGACGCTATAGAGTGCCTCTCTCCATAGCCCCTGTCTAACCACCAGCCTCTGGGACTCTGTCCTCCCAGAGGGTATGTCCTGACCTAGCTGCACCCCAAGATACCATCTTCCTTGGAGGTCTGAGTGTCAAAGGTCAGCAGAGGCTGCCACCTGCATTCTTAGAGCAGTGCATGCACACCTGGCTATACCCTCGGGGCCACTCCTGGGTTCCCTGAGAAGCTGACAGCACTGTGGCATACACACATAATGTGTGACATATTCACATTCATGCATATAGTTACATGTGTGTGCTCTCACACACAACAAAGGCATGCAAATGCATCCACACATACATGCCCACATGTATATATGCATGTACACATAAACATGTCTATGCTTACAAATGTGTGCTCTTACACACAACAAAGACACGCATACTCTTGCACACTCACTTGGGTGTGCATAAGTACACACAGTTACATGTGTGTGCTCTTGCACATGACAAAGACACGTGTGCAGTCACACATGTGCTTGCATATGATGCCCACATGCATGCATAAACACACATACAGTTGCACATGTGTGGTCCTACACACAAAGACGTTGAGCTCACATGGATGTGCATAAACACACATATAGTTGCACATATGTGCTCTTGCACACAAAGACTCACTAACATAAGACTCACTAACATAATACATGTTTATGCATAAATAAGCATACAGTAACACACGTGTGCTCTTGCACACAACAAATACATGTTCACATGTGCATAAACATGCATACACTTATACATGTGTGCTCTTGCGCACAACAAATGATGTGTGGATTCAAATACACACATATATGCTCACACGGCTCGCATACCACAAAGACACACATATGAACTCACACATGCTCACATACATGCTAACACGGGTGTGCACAAACACGTATGCCCTTACAATTGTGTGTTCTGGCACACAACAAAGACGTGTGTACTCACACACGTACTTGCTCACACGTGTGTAAGCACAGTTACACATGCACGTTCTTAACACAATAAATACACGTGTGCACTCACAGTCACATACATGCTCATGCATGTGTGCATAAACATGCATACAGTTACACCTGTGTGCTTTGCACACAATAAAGACCCTCACATATATGCTCATAAGCACACATAGTGTTACAAATGCATCCTTTCTCATGAAACACAGGCATACATGTACGCTCACACATACGCACTCACGTACATGCTCATACACAACCCAACATGTACACACATATGCATACTCACACACACATACTGAAACACAGCACACATGTACACATATATGCCCAGCCGTATCAATACACAGGTGCTCACACACAACATACATGTACACATAACACGCTCATATATGTTGATATAGTTGCACATGTGCTCACACACTAACACAGGCATACACGTGTGCACCCATATGCCCAATCACACAGCACACACATGTACATTTATACAGAACACATACATCCACACCTAAATGTATGCTCACGGTACACATGCTCACACACAAACACAGGCACACATGTGTGCACTCACACAGCACACATATGTGCACTCACACATACACATGCTCACAAACACCACATGTACATGTACACACTATTTAAAGTCTAGGTCTACCTATCAACATAACCTATGAGTGACATTTGGGTGAAGAAGATTCTGCATAAGAGGGGGCTGCCCTCCAGCCTGCCTCTCAGGAGCCCTCCCAGCAGATGTTGAAAGGAGATTTAAAGGAGCCACCGGATCGGTTCCGATTCTGAATGTCACTTACTCTCCTGCAGTGGGCGGGTCTTCCAGTACTTTGGGGCGGCTTCATTTCTAACATCGAATGAAAGTTGGTGGGGCTTCTTCACACAGACATAAAACCATGTTCATCACAGAATTGTAGCACATCAGACAACATTCTTCCCAGCAGCCAACATGTGGGAGAATCCCGTTCACCTACAGGGTACTTATTTTATTAGCTCTTTCTTATCCACCATGGATATTCCTTAGGTCAAATAAGGAGACTGAGTGTGACGTTTTCTCCTCTGTGCTGATGTGGTGTTTCCTCCTTGCAAGGTGTTCCTGGTGAGGAAGGTCAAAGGGTCCGACGCTGGTCAGCTCTATGCCATGAAAGTTCTGAAGAAAGCGACCTTAAAGGGTAAGGATTTCAAACCTGGTGGCGGCTGCTGAAGCAACACTTTGCTTGTTATTTCAGGAACTTGACATTCGATTTCGTGTTGCAGGTTTTCCTGGGGACGTCAGTAAAGGAGACAGGGAGGCACATTACTCTCTAGTTGATAATGAGCAGGACAAACATCTTCAGGATGATTAACTTGTCAGCAGTCCTCAGAGAGCATAAATCCCACTCTTCCCATATGCTCTGCGATCTCTTTCCATTTGGAGAAAGACGAGCAGCAAAGACAAGCAGGGTTTGAGGGCTGTGTGGAATAACAAACTGCCTAAACACTAGTAGCCCGACTGGGTTGCTCAGTTGACATCAGATGTGATTCGTGCCGATAGTGTTTTGTTGTGCCATGACTGGGTACTACACCTACAATCCAGACACAGGTCTCCAGCCCCTTGGCACTGCCGTCCCTCAGCAACATGGAAGCATTGCTCCCACCAGCGGCTGTCATGTTAGCTCCGACTCATGGAAACCCCTAGTGTGTCAGAGTAGAACTGTGCTCTTGGGTTTTTGTTTCCGGTTTGAGGTTTGTCTGTTTTTTTTTTACTTTTTATTGAGTGTGAATTCAGTGAAGGTTTACAGACAAGATCATCAGCTTTACATTCAACAAATTAGACACTTTGTTTCATCTCAATGGTTACAATGCCTTCCCTGAGACAATTACCTACCTCCTCCCTGTGGCTCCTCACTTACGTCTCATGGTTCACAAATGAACAAGGAAAATGTATTTCATATACACTTACAAAACAAAAAATATATATCCATTTAAATGTCTAAAGGGTACATTCTGCAAGCCAGCCTTCTGCCCGCAGGCACACACAGCCTTCCTCAGCCCATGGGGCCAGACCCCCAGTTGCTCTGTCTCCCCTTACCACTGTCTCTGCCACCAGCCCTGCTGTTGTGGTTTTTCTAGGTAAGATCTCACACTCTTCTCCTGCTCGCCCTCCTTGGTGTTCCTGAAATGAAAGATTAACTCTTCTCCGCCTTTCATTATACATCTTCTACAATTACAGGTGGAACCATCACAAATGCTGCTAAGAGTGACTCACAATTGAATCATAAAATCCTGTCACCATCATCCCCCCCTCCCCTTTCATCAGCTCCATCTGGGAAAGAGGGAAACTATTCAGTGTGGATTCTACCTTACCGCCCCCAATTCTGTAACTAAGATCACTCATGAACGCTTGTAAGCCAGCCACTTTATAGCCCCCTGCCTATTTCTGATAGCCAATGTCTAAATTGGAGTCTAGCAAAATTAGAAATTATCTAAAATGAAATGGAACACATAAACATCGATATCTTAAGCATTAGTGAGCTGAAATGCACTGGTACTGGCCATTTTGAATCTGACAACCACATGGTTTACTATGCCAGGAATGAAAATTGAAAAGGAATGGTGTTGCATTCATTGTCAAAAGAACATATCCAGATCAGTCATGAGGTACAATGCTATAAGTGATAGGATAATATC